CTGGTCATGAAAAAACCGTGCCAGGGTTGCAAATTAGGCTCCGCCCATTTTCCTTCCAGATGGTTCTTCCCACTTTTTGTTTTCCTCCCAGTTGGTGTGCTCTCTGGAGGATAAAGGCACACTGGAATCGAGGACAGAACCTTAATTGCAAACTGCGCACGGTTTTTCAGCTCAATTTCTAAAATGGAATTCATGAAAAATTGAAATAATATTTATGAAAATCAATTAAAAATATATTTACAAAAAAAAGAGAAGAAAGAAGGAAAAACAACATTCAGTTTAGAGACCTAGAAATCGAGTTTTATGCTGCTGGAGCGGCGCATTTTTTGTTTCCAGAACCCTTCTAATGTGTTGGTCCGTTCGTACGAATTGTGCCCAAAAGGGTCAGCAACATATTCTGATCGCGGGAATCGACGAGGTGGAGAAGGTGGAGCGACGCCGCCTCGAAGGTTACTGTAATAATATGCTGTTCTAATAAACGAGAAATTAAAACAAACGTAGAAACAAGCGGATCTGCAGCTAAGTCATCTAAACTTCTTGACTTATTTTTTGTGTCTCTGAGCATCGTATCCCCAAACATCCGATACCGTGTTGAATCGGTTTCAATAGGTAGATCAGACAAAGAAGCTCGCTTTTCCGACTCGTAACGATTCAATGAACTCTGATTTTAATAAATTGTAATGCTTCTATCTGTATCACTCACCTCTCTACTTCTCCCCAAATTCATTAGCCGGGATTCTCCGATTATCCGATTTTTCAATTCATCGACTACACGCCTAGAAATGGTTGGAGCTTGCCGACGAGGCGGTCTGAAATTCATGTCTAATTGTTTTTCTAAATTTCCGAATAATAGACATACGCATCAATATCGGAAGTTCTGTTTCGTTGATCTCTTTCCAAAGGAGATGATCTCTCATCAAATCCTGCTGTAGATCTGCTCACACTCCGAGATTGAGAACAACTTCTTTGTGGGCGCAAAGGGTTTTGGTTTATACTTCCGGAGCACTCACTGCCATTATTGTTGTTATTTCTGGAAAGAAACAAAAATAGGTCAGGGTGCACCTCGTATAGAGCTTTTACTGTACCTTGGAACCAATAATCCAGATAGGAATAGTCTATGCTCCAAGTCATTGATAGATCTTTGAACGTCTGGACGAGAGAGAAGAAGCTGAAAAAACATATGCATGTAAATCTATTTTGACCTCAAAGTTACCTGTAAATTTGCCAACATGATCTGTGCGGTTTCTGCACTATCACACCGGTAGCAATGGACGTGCATTGGAGACTGCATTTCTGGATTCAATACCAGCATAACAACTCCCACAACATCATCGAATGGGGCTTTTCCGGTTATACTTAAATTGGAACACAATTATTATCAGACAAAAATACACTTTTTTTAGGTTTTTGATATTTTTCATATATTCCATTTTGAATATGTATCAACTACCAAAAAAAATTCCTATTTTGTTTGAGCAATCGAATAACGTTGACAGACTTATTGAACCCATCAAGAATATCATTCTAGTACAAAAAAAATCGGAGCTGTGGAAGAGAAGCGCCCGTGGACGTGGCCGAATGTGCCATAACGACAACTTCAGTAACCTAAATTATTTTTCAGAATTATTTTTCTCTGTTTCCGTACGTTTTCAGTCAATTTTTTCACTATCAAAAACTGTAAGGTTACTGTAGTTGTCGTTGTGGTGCCATCGGCCACGGCCACCGGCGTTCCTTGTTTTTTTTTGTTGATATTTTTTGTATAAAACTGAAAATGTGAAATGTTTTTTTCCCGGTAAAAAGTTTTTTGGTTGTGCAGTTTTTTTCTAATTGCTCCGGAATAACATTATAGTATATGGGAACGGACGAACTCACCTATAAGTGATACAGTTAGCAGCAATTTGGAACTTCACAAGTTGCATTTTGACTTTTCCACTTTTGGACATAGCTGGAACTGATTGAATCAATTTCAAACCTTTTGATGAAATCTGAAAAATGGTTTTTAATTAAAAATTGCTAGGAAACCGTAATTACCTGTACAGTAGCTTTACTTGGTGTTTTCTTGAAACTTTCTTTCAAAAGTTGTCGCATAACTGGCAGGACTACCTGGAAAATGAAATTGAGTTTTTGGAACCTTCTAAATAAAACTCACTGCACTTCCCCTCACTCCATCGGCTTCCTTTGATCCCAAATACCAAACATAAAAGTGGGATTTTGCGATTTTCGATTGAAAAAACCAAGACATTATTGGTTAAATTAGGTTAACTCATCCAAACCTTTTTGAAATTGCTTTTCCAATATGAAAATTAATTGTTTTCTTAGGAAAAAAAATCCTCAAGACGAGCTTTGAGCTATGTAACGGAATCAAACAAGAGGGTGAACTGTCAATGTGTCAAGCGGCGAGCCAAGAAAATAATGGAAAGGAAGTCTCGGCATTCAATCTGGTTTTTGATGAGGTTTCGGAAATTGCCATCTGTTGATTTCTAATTGAGCTGAGAGTTATTGTGGAAGATCTGGTACGGGTACTGTAGCAGAATTTTTTTTTGGTTTTGGACGGAGACCCCCGAATAGGTTTTAAACTAGAAAAAAGTCGAAAATACAAAAAGAATGAAAGAGTATTCGAAAAATTGAGTACTGTAGATACCGTAAAACCTGTAACACTGTCAACTTTGAGCTCAATCATCTCTGTTCTTTCAAATGATATCAAAAAGTGGTCAACTGATAAAATATTGGCGGTATTATGGTAATTAATTTATCGGATACAAGTTTTCTGGTATATTTTAAAGGAACCGAGATAAATTGGCTCAAAGTTAGAAGTTAGGAAGTTATTCTACATGGCTTACGGTAATTTGCTCTGAAATAAAAATGAAGGAGAATTGAGAAAAAAAATGAAAGAAAAGACTTGGAATTTTCCTGGGATCCAAAAAAAGTAACTATATTGGTTTCTAAGAAAACGAAAAGAGTAAATGAACATGAAAGAATAAATGAGATCAATTTCCTGATGACTAACGGAGAAGGAAAACGTGTGGTGAGAACAACCGGATAATGGGGTGGTTTGTTGATTGGCAAATCGAAATATCGAGAAGAATTGAGTGGTGTTATAGGCACTCGAATGAATCGAATATTCGGATACAAAAAAACGATAGGCGGCAGCCCAATCGACGGGGCTCTTTTCGAGCATGACCATTCGCAAATATTTGGGTAAAAATTGACGAGAGGAAGGGGTGAGAAACAGACATTATATCGGAGCATTTTCGCACTTTTCGAATGAGAAAAAATAATGCTTATGATCTTGTCATGATGCCATGTATGACTTGTTGAAGAAGGTTCATGAAGAACCCATGGAACTCGATTCGTGTCTAACGTTGATTCAACCGAACCGTTGAGGTCAAGGTCCACACAACGAAAACCACCGTAACCTGAAATATTCGGACATTTTTTCGCGATTACTATTTCTCTCCAAACAAAACGGAAAATAAATTTGTTCTAAATCTGAACAGTTGCCGAAAAACAGACGAAAATCGAGAAAAAAAGCCGAGAGAGAATCTAAAACGGTTCGATTAGAAGTAGAATTAACTAATTATAAATGGAAAGAGTTTCCTTGTGAGAACATATTGTGAATAGCCGATAGAAGATACACCCCGGAATAGTCTCATGGAGAAGAAATGGATGCTTATGTAAATTACAAGTGGTGCCTGTCCATGAAGATGTTTCGAGTGTGGTTTTCGGCAAAGCAGAGAAAGCATATTCGCTTTCCGATTTTCCTCGATAATTACTGAGAAGGTCTTTTGGTTTGTAAAAAAGTGAAGCAGAAGAACATGTGAAAAACAGAAACAATTTTTCTTGTGAGATCTGTGGGACGTGTTTAACTTCTTTCTATGCGACCGTGGAAAATTGACATCAAAACTGTTTATACCAAACCGAACAACGAAAAAAGCGCGTGTGATTGAAATAGGGAGGGAACCTACATGAGGAAAGAAAAGTACAAAAAGTTAATGATGGAGGAGTAAAATATATAGAAACAGAAACAAGGCTACGGAAGGGAAAGTCTTAAACCTTTAAAAAAACACAAGAACAATTATAGACTTAAAAAACTGGAAACAACTACTATCCTAAAAACGTATAATTACAAAATCAATCAAACAGTCCGGCCTTCTTATCCTCATCGGCTACCAACTTGTGTGATCCGTCGCAAAACGGTCTGAAATAATTTTGTTTATTTGAATAGTGTTATTGAGTAGAAATTGAATAGCACTATGTAGTACTCTTAAAAATATCGATAGTTGAAGGTTCTTATTGGAATATCTTTAGCATGAACGATACTTTGAATGAATTCCAGTGTCTTCTAAACATTTTAAAAACAAACGCTTACCGATTTTTCGTTTGTTTGCAATTGCACAACCACACAGTCATATCTTTATCTGGGATGAAGCGAACTGGCTTCAATTTTAGATCTGGAGTTCGAATCGAGTTGTGTGATCCGTCGCAAAGAGGTTGAGAACCACTGTAACCACAACTGCACCATGCATACACTTTGTCTTTCTTCATATGTACCTTCAAAACTTAAAATTTAGTTAAAATTCAGGGTTACGAAAAAATGCCTTGGTCGGTAGTTTGCTGTGCACTTTTCCTGTGCCTGGGAGCTCATGATTGGTACCTTGAAGTCCATACTCTTCATTTGGCTTTTTGTCTTGGAGCTGAGAATAAAAATATTATTTTTAATCCGAAAAAGGATTAAAACTTACCAAATGATATTTCAATGCTGGTGGCTCTGTACCGACAAAATGGGTTCCCTTTCTATGAAGTCTGTTTGGACCGAACCCCGTTTTTTGGCTGTTTTTGACAATTGATGCGCAGATTTTAGTCGCTTGTGATAACCGCATACTGATCGATCTGGAATAAAACTTCAAATGAAGCAACAAGTTGAATAACAGGGAAACACGGGTTCAGGACATCGAAATGTGTAATTGCTGAAAAATATATTGAAGCAGACTGAAAAAAACCTTTTTTCAAAAAGGGGAGGAGTCACCGCTACGTGCAGAGAAGATTTTGCAGTGCACCGCAGTACGCAACTGCGCCGCACACTTTTTCTCGGTTTTTACTTTTACTCAATTCTTTCCAAAAAGTTTATAATTTTTGATTTCTGAGCATTAATTTATATTAATTTCGTTAATTTTCAGATAAATAATGTCTTCAAACTTGATTCGATTCGTCGGAAACCATGATATTGCTTCAGAAGGGAAATTTCTCTTCGAAATTCTTTCTCAGCTCCGTAATGTACGTTTTTTTCTGTCGAATCAGCCTCAGCTTTCAATTTTCCACTAACTGTTTTTCGAATTAGGTCAGCAATATGAAAATTTGCAGTTTGGAGTTGGCCGACTCGTCACGAAAAATGAATGGACACGAAAATGGCCGAATAATCCGTCCTACATGAAAATTCTGAGGGTTCGTTTCAAGAATTGTCCATTTTGCTAAAAGTTACTAAAAATTAATATTTCTAAAAATTAATCTGTTCTAGGCAGAGCCAGGCATGGATCGTTGGCTATTCGAAGGAAAAGTTTATGCTGAATGGGTTTTCCGCGGAAAGAATTTGGGAGTTTATGAATTTTCGAAGGATTTGAACAGAAGTGACTGGCAATTAGTGCACAAGTACGCAATCTGATGAATATCTGAGTTTAATCATCAATTCATTCAGACATCAAGAAAATTCATTCACATCGTGTGCGACGCCCATGCAGGAAATGGTACTCCCTGACTCATTTCCATTACCACCACTTCAAGTACATTTATCCCAAAAAAGCGCCAGAAAAAATGGGTTGGATGAGAAGACAATATCGAGAAGAGCACCGCTTGCATTGAGTATTGATCCAGAGTTTGAGCATTTGAAACCATTCATCAAACAGGTATTTGAAAGAAATTTGAAAATTAAAATGTTCCATTATGATTTGCAGGAGACACCACAGTCGAAAAGCTCATCGATTTATGACGAGGTTGACAAGAATGTCCTGTTGGATCTGTATGGAAATGAACTGCCTGTAAAAGTAGAAGCATGGAATGCCGGTCCAGCTGCATTCCAGCCACGATTTAACGCTACAGTGATGCGAGTAGAGGAACAACCGAAGTGATCTCGAAGAATTGTTGTTATTACCTTTATCATTTGTTTTTTAGAAAATATTTTCAGTTTTGTTTTGTTGTTTCGAACTAGATCAATCATAAACGTTATTTTATTTGGTTTCGTCCTGGATTTGAAAAAATTTGGTGGAGGTAAATACAAAATATGGTAGGAAATTTATGAACCGTTTTTGAAGCAAAAACAATTCTTGGCTGAGCGAAAAATAGTGTAGGCTGATTGTGAGTGCAAATAAAACAATACTTTCTGAAGAGTAAACAAATAAAAATTACAAACTTTTCCTTCCAAAAACCCTAATCAATACCAGTTATCAAACTACACAGTCTCAAAACTTTACTCTTTCTTTCTCGTTCATTCTGAAAGAAGTAGGTTATTATTCTGGTACAAAAAATCGGTTCTGTGGAAAGGAAACTCTGGTGGTCGTGGCCGGAGGTCCTACAACGAAAACTACCGTAACATAAAAATATGTCAATTTGTTCACGATCAAAAATTTGTTATCAAGAAAAACAAAAAGGAAAAATCGACAAAAAGCAGTAAAAAGCGAGAAAAAAAAAACATTTTTTGGTTACGGTAGTTGTCGTTGTGGGACTTTCGGCAACGATCACAGGCGTTTCTCTTACACAGCTCCGAATATTTTTGTACCAGAGGAATAGTTATCAAAATATACAGTCTCAAAACTTCGCTCTTCATTTCTTATTCATTCTGCAAAAAAAAAATGAAAAGATGAAATTGATAAGATAATTTCTACTCATCAACATAGTTTTTTCTCACAGGAACAATCAAACCACAGTTGACTATAAACCACACTTTTTCCGTCAAAAGTCTTGTTCTGCTTCTCCGCGTCTCTTGTTCTCCCCAAGGGTTATCTAGTGTCTCTCGTAATTCCATACCTTCTCCGGAGAAGAAGTACATTTTGTGATTAACTATCTCTCATGATGCAAATAAAACAATATTTAAAGATGCGGTCTCAGCTGGGAAAACTCATTTTTCAGATTGAAAATGAAAATATTTGCTCTATTATCATTGCTCCTAGGAGCAGTCGCCTCCTACAAATATGTTATTTTTGTACCAAATATGGCTAATAGTCAGGTAAGGATAACCCAAAAGTTAGGAATGTTCTGAGATTATGTATTTATTCTCAGACTCAATTCTGTGCTCGTGTAGCAGAGGTTCTTGCCAATGGAGGTCACGATGTCACTATGCTCTTCGTCACTCATTTATCTGATTTCAAGACTGATGTGAAAATTCCAAAGGGAGTCAAAAGTGGGTTTCAAAAACCATTATATGGCTACATCTCAAACTATTTAAGGTTACCATCTCGATGCTTTCATAGAGGGAATCACAAAGGAAAGCATTGAGAAAGAGCAATCTGCTATGATATTCAAAGATACTGGACTTAAAGATATGCCAGCTATGATGGCAATGTTCGGTCGCTTTGGAAAGATGCTCCAAGAAGGATGTCGCGCAGTTATTAGAAACAAGGAATTTATGAAGTGGTTGGAAAATGAAAAGTTTGATGTTGCATACGCATACATCTATTCTACTTGTCCAATTGGATTAATTCATACAGCCAAGATTCCATCTTGGGTTTGGTTAAACAGTGGACCACTCATGGACTACGTTGCTGAAACAACTGGAGTTCCAATCATTCCTAGTTATGTTCCACCTGTGATGATGGAATCTCACGATTTAATGGGATTCGTTTTTAGAACAAAAAGCTTTATTGGACATTTCTTGATGACTCTTTTCCACAGAAAGTAGGTTCCATCAAAAGATCTCCACACTAAACAATGTGTATTTTAGAATGTCTTCCGATGCGGAAACGCAGATTTTTCGTGAGGAATTGAACGATCCATCTTTCCCACATACAATGGATATTGGAGCAAAATGCCCATTGGTATGTTTTTAATTTTAATTTTATCAATATGGATGTAGTTTTCAGATCATTGTAAACAGCAACGAACTTTATGATCTGCCACGTCCTACTTTGGCAAAAGTAGTAAATATTGGAGGACTAGGAGTTGGATTTGACAGTGCTAAGCCTTTAACTGGAGTGGGTTTTCTGTGGACTTTTCAAATTTGAATTTTTTCGTTTCAGGAGTTCAAAACAATCTCAGAAACTGGAAAAGGAATGATTGTATTCTCGTTTGGATCGGTGGCAGCAGCCCATGAAATGCCTTTAGAATGGAAAAATGCAATTCTCGATGCATTCTCATCTCTTCCAGATTATCAATTTGTTATGAGATATTTGGGAACTGATCTGAATGATAGATTACCGAAAAATGTACATTTATCCAAATGGCTTCCGCAAAAAGATCTTCTTCTTCACAATAAAACAAAGGCATTTATCAGTCATGGAGGATATAATTCTATGCAGGTATATTCTAGAAACATAATGAACTCAAAAATATTTTTTGATTTAGGAAGCAATCTCTGCTGGAGTACCACTTGTCACAATTGCTCTTTTCGGTGATCAACCTAAAAATGCTCAAATTGCGAAAAAACATGGATTCGCTGTTAATATTCAAAAAGGAACAATTTCAAAAGAAACGATTGTTGAGGCGTTGAAAGAAGTCCTTGAAAATGATAGGTTTGTTTCGAATCTCTTTTTCATTTTATATTCTATTTTTTCCCATTTTCAGTTACAAACAAAAAGTGAGTCGTCTCTCTGCAATGGTCCGTGCCCAACCAATGAAACCAGCTGAACGTCTTCTAAAATGGTCAGAATTCCTCGCCGAATTCAAAACTCTAGATAATTTGGAACCAGCTGGACAAAAACTCAATTTCTTCCAATACCACTCTCTTGATGTTATTGGCTTTCTTTTCACTGTCATTTTCCTTGTTTTCTACATTTTCTACCGTATCCTCCGTGCTCTAGTCAGATGCTGTTGTTGTAGGAAGTCCCACGAAAAGAAGAAAACCGAATAGGAATCTTCCAATATCACAAATGACGCTTTCACTTTCCCAACTTGTTCTCTTAAATATTCGGGTCGAATAAATTTATTTTCAGTAACTTTTCCGGAAACTTTGATGTCATAACTCATTTGATTTCCTACATTTCAACATCAGAAGGATATAAAACTGATTCTGAAGATACCCGGGCGTCAACTTCTGATAAGAAATTGGCCAGACCAATTAACCAAGTAGTTTTTCATCTTTCAACTTTGGATTCAAATCTGACCATTGCCCTCTGTAGAGAAGCTTTTAGGCAACTTCTGACCAGAATCTGGTCAGTGTGAGTCCAAAAGCCGAACCCCTTCAAATTTTGGTCAGAAGTTACAAGCGGAAAATTGAGTTAGTATCAGTTTAAATCAATTTGACTGCTTGAGTTGGGAATTCTCAAAAATTGTTTAAATTAACAAAAACTTTTAAGGCTAATAGTCATCTACTCATTCTGGTTCAGTCTTAGCAATTTTATTCAGTGAAAATGTGGTTCAAAAGTAATCCACTGAAAGGATAAAAATGAGTTCCTATGTGTACTGATCCTTGACTGCTCCTTTTTTACTGGCTCCTAGGGCCTTTTTTCCATCAGTTGGGAATAGATTCTTAGTCGGTCACGACACTTTGGGATGCAGAAGAAAGGATTAAATATTGAACACGGATAAAAAGCATGTGGGTGGGCTTGAAGACATGCTGACAAACAGTAGGAAATGGATTTATTCATAATGGAGATCGGGGAGAGCCGCTGTCTGGAGCTTCTGTAGTTGTGGGTGATGCGCCGAAATCATCGGAATCTGACAATTTTTGAGTTTTCGAAATTCAAGATATCAGGATTTCCAAATTTCCGCGTTTCCCAAGTTACTCAAGTCTTCCGAATTGCGTCTGAATTTCAGGATGACTAAATTTTTCAAATTCGGGGATTTGGAATATTTTATCTCCCAAATTGCTAAATTCTGAAATTTTATGATATCCAAAGTTTTTGAAATTCTTAATTTCCAAATTTCTGGCAATTGTGAGTTTAATTTCTGAGTTTGATTTTCAGTGTTTTTGAATTTCAAAAAAATTTAAAATTTTCACAGATCCAGTAGCTAATTCTCCAAGTGTTATATCTTATTGAGACGAATTATAGGAAAATAGGCAAGTTTAACATAGTTAAACAATGTTGTTCTGATATGAATGTCACTCATATTTCCAAGCCTTTGCTTGGAGAGATTTAAATTTGGCAAAATTAGAACTTGAATAAAGTCAAATCATTTTTAGAAGATGGATAGTAGGGTAGTGCTTCAAAACTTAAAACTCAAAGTAAAGTAAAGTAAACCTTAAAGTTTTAAAAAGTGGGCGATGTATCATTGACTATATGTATCATTGACTACAAAGTTTCATTGATTACAAAGTATCATTGACTGCATAGTTTCATTGACTACATTTCGTATCATTAACTACAGTAGTATCATTGACTACATGGGCAAATGATACTTTCTCTCTGAAACTCTGAAATTTCTGTTTCAGTATCAATAGTCGCTTTCTCAGTACTAAATCGAAACAAGGTGTTTCAGCCTAAGCCTATAATTAAAAGAAAAAACTGAACATTTTGAAGACAATTTCAACGAGAACTGTGGAAATTTCATTGATTTTCGCGAGATTCAGTTCTTTTTTGACTTGAATTTTTGGTTTTTTTTTTGTTTAAATTATATATAGGCTTACTATTAGGCTTAAACGCCTTTTTTCTATTTTACACTGACAAAGTGAGAAAGCGATTATTGGTACTAAAACTAAAGGCTCAGAATTTCAGAGAGAAAGGATCATTAGCTTAAGCACATGTAGTCAATGATATAAATGAAACAAAATGCAGTCAATGAAACTTTGTAGTCAATGATACTACTGTATACAGGTGATTCGCGAACAATCCGTTACGGACGCACAGCGTTCGCGCGCGGTTGAAATAGGAACCGTATACGGACCGCACGCGACCCGTTTTCAGAAAACCACAGCACATTATTTCGTATTTCTCCATATTCTATCCGTTTGCGAACTCCGTATCTGATCCGATTGCGAATGATAAACAAACGGATCCGTTCGCGAACTTAAACTTTTGTCTGATTCGCGAACGGATCCGTTTGTCCATCATGCGCAAGCGGATCGGATACGGAGTTCGCGAACGGACAGAATAGCAGGTAGATAGTGTTGTTTCTAATTCTAATTCTAATTTTAAATATAATTCTGATTCTAATTCTAATTCTAATTCTAATTCTAAGTCTAATTCTGATTGTGATTCTAATTTAAATTCTCATTGCTAATCGTCTTGAAATGCAGAGTATAATAATTAAAGGTGGGGGGACAGGAGATTTTTCGTAGTTTTTTTGTAGCTAGAGTATGCATTCTACCGTGACGGTGTACAACGCTTAATGTCACTCTGCGTACAGCTGTCGTCCTCGTCTTTATGTATGCAATCGGGCGTACGCTTTCTCTTTGCCCGCGTGGCTCAGTCGGTAGCGGCGCCGCACCCTCAATCATCGCCTTCACAAGTTCAACTCTCCTCGAGAGGCATCTTTGAACGGAATTTCGAGAACATTATTTTTTTCATGTCCCCCCACCTTTAAGCTAAATTCGACTATTATCCTGTGATCTAAAACATTTTCTTGTCTTGAATACAACTAATTACTAACTCGGTTTATCCTTCATCTCCCAATTACTACAAATGTATGTCCCTGTTATATCTCCTAGTTTATAAATTATCCTGGAAAAGTAGTAATTATAGGTGACTTTAATATCCGTGGGATCGACTGGAGAGAGAGTGAAATTCACGGGGCAACTGAATTAGGGACTTTACTTATTGAATTTTGCAAAGTGCATAATCTCAAGCAATTTGTGAAACAAGCAACTAGAAAAGATACTGTATTGGATTTAATTTTTGCTAACACACTGGTACAGAATGTAAAAGTTCTCTCCCCTATTGGATCGAGAGATCACAGGAAAATTGAATTCACTATAGATATTCTCCAAGCCATTCCTACCCCAAAACTAAAACTTTTTGATTTTAAAAACGCGAACATTCCTCTATGTGTTGAACATTTTAATAACGTGAACTGGTCCACAATTTTAGGTGCTAATATGACAATCGAACAGATGTATAGTTGCTTGATGAGTGAAGTACGGTTTATCTTTAGAGAATCTGTTGAAGAAAAATGGGTTCCGCTAGGAAAAACTAGTGTACCACAGTATCTTCTATCCTTTGAGACAATTATAGAAGCCGCCTATGTGCAGTCTAAAACGTCAAGAAAAGTGGAAGATTTTTTATTGTATGTCAAACTAGCTAGAAGGTACAGGAAAAAACTTATAAAATTCCAATCTAACGCTGAACTTAAATATCTAGAAGAAAAAGGATCTAGTAGGTTCTCAAAATATGCTAAAACCATTCTAAAACCCCGATCAAATTCAATTCCAAATATTATTAACGACCTGGGAAAATTATTGAAATCTGAATCTGAAAAAGCAAATTGTATTGCGGACTCATTTGAGCGCCAATACATAAATCAAAAATCCAAACTTTTCGAACTTCCAGATACCTATGATTCTATCCAGCCAACCATATGGGTAACTGATGATGACGTTTATAAAACAATAAAACGCTGTAAAAACTCATGCTCAAAAACCAGTGATGAAGTTCCATTCACCTTCATCAAAATGATTGCCCCATTGATAAGTAGTGCGTTAGCTCAAATATTCAATTTTTCGTTGATTAAATGTGAAGTACCAGAAGCTTGGAAAACATCAATTGTCATTCCATTAGCGAAAACAAAAAATCCTACTACTGCGCTAGACTTTCGTCCAATTTCATTGACATCACATCTGTGTAGGATTTATGAAATATGTGTTTTAAATCAGCTGACTCCATTTCTTAACTATGTTGAATTCTGGAGTCCTAGCCAACATGGGTTCCTGCCAAAACGATCGACTGTAACGAATATGTTAGAGGCTATGAATGATTGGACAGAAGCGCTAGACAGAGGTGAGCAAGTAGATGTAATATATATAGATTTTGCGAAAGTGTTTGACCGTGTTCCACCCGACAAATTATTAGAAAAATTAATAGATCTTAAAATTAATAAATATCTTGTCATCTGGCTCAAAGCGTACTTAGAAAATAGGACATTCAGAGTAAAAGTTGGAGAAACATTATCAGATTACAAGACTTCGATCTGTGGAGTTCCACAAGGAGCAGTTTTATCTCCAATATTATTCGGTGTTTATGTTAACTCGACGTCTGCAATACTTCCCGCAGAAGTTAAAATAAAACAGTTCGCAGATGACACTAAAATCTATACCTCCTTAAAAAAAGGCAGCCACACAAGTCCTCTCCAAGAAGCCTTAACCTCTCTCTCCAGTTGGTGCGATGATGCAAAACTAGACCTAAACCAGTCTAAAACGGTAACTTTGCCGTTAGGAAAACGTAGAAACGAAATTAACTATAAGATAAGGAATCAGGATATAAAAAGAGTAACTATCACAAAAGATTTAGGCTTTCTAATTTCTAGCAAGCTAGATTTCAGTGAGCATTGGAAAAAAGCAATCAATGCTGCTAAACATATTATGACACGTGTCTTTAATCAGTACAGTAGTAAAAAAGCCCGTTTAATAATACTGCTCTATAAAACATTCATTCGTCCACTAGTAGAATATGGTACTTCAATAAGTTATCCCCCCAACAAAAAAGAACAAAGAAATATCGAATCTATCCAGAATTCCTTCACAAGAAGGCTTTATAGTAGGAATGTAGGCAAATATATTACTCCACAAGACTCAGATTACATGAATGCTAGTGAACGTAACCTCCTTAAGTATTTATGGTCTCTCCTCTCTGGAACACAGGCGACAAACAATTGATAAAAAACTGATATCTAAAATAATGTTAGGAAGAGTGGGTCTAAACCAGACTGACTTTTTCCAAGTGTCCACAAATAATCGAACAAGATCAAAATCAAGGTACAAATGGAAAAGAGCTAAAACAAAAATTAGGCAACACTTTTTCGTCAATAGGGCGCTTAGTAAAATGATTTAGTTACTGCTGAGCAATTGCTCAATTTTCTGGCCCTACTCTCTGTCCTCTATTCTATGTATTATTCTATGTTCATTTATGCTTGACATGTCTTATTCTCCTCTCCCTATTTCTTTTTAATGGTCACTCTAGTTCTAGTTCATTCTATTATTTTACATTTCCTCTCACTAGAATTCATTATTTATCCATTTGGAATCTGATTATCATGTTTTTTATTGTTTTTTTTCCTTTTTTTCCACGATTCTTGCAATCGTAAATAAATAAATAAATAAAATAAATATTGTCTATTCAAAATAATCGCGCGGGTGAAAGAGTAAAAATGTCTGCGTCTCTACAGCGCCTCTACAGGTTTGAAGGCTC